GATTATAGCGTACATGTTGTGCACTATAGACTAAGAAAAAAGTAGAATTTCATTTTTTATGCATGAAATTCTTAAAAATTGTTATGAAACATTTATCTTTAACTCAGTATTATATGCATTTGTTTTTAAGATAATAGTTCAAAACATAGTTGATAGTTATCTAAATATAATCCTTAAAGGATTTTTTTTAGGCGACAGAGTTTTTGTACAGTGCCTAGCCTCTATGCATAAAAATACCTTATCTTTACCTCAAAATGACCATTAAAAAAGTAATAATAATTCTTGCTGGCTTTATAAGCTTTTGCGCATAATAAAATAGATAAAACAGTTCTTTCTTTAAATTTTATATTAATATTTTAAAAAAAGTTTTCGAAACTAGTCGGATGCCTTAATTCATATACAATACTTTAAAATGCTTAATATTTTCCCAGTATTGATTTTTCTAAACTTTTCAATTTTTCTATACATTTCCATACTTAGCTGATATTAATATTTCTAAGTATTCCTTATTTACCTCGATTTCTATCAAATGAAAATTATTTCAATATAAAACTATATTTAATGTTATTTTGGAGGAAATACAAATGGAATAAATATTTAAAAATATTATTTTATTAAATATCCAACTTAGACTAGGTTATCGCAATAAATAATAATCAATAACATTGCCATGGTAGATCATATCTGCTTTTAATGCTGATTATTTTTTACTGTAGATCTTAATCACGTGTAATTATGATTATTAGTTATTGTGACTATAATTTCAATCTAATATTTTACTTTTAACTGTGATTACTTACTAAATTTATTACTTTTGTAATTTACTTGTATTCAATAGCATTTGTAATCGGTTACTCCAAATTTATATAACATGAAATAAAAGTTTCCTTTACAAACGGATATGGTCAAATGTTTAAGATCCTTATATTTTGGTCCTTATATTTTGGGGTAATAATTTTTTGAAACGGGCTCTAAATCTAACTAAGCTTTTACTTTCATTTGATAGCCCTAAATTAGTATTTAAACACACAAGGTCATAGATTTAAATCTTTTAGAACCTTACAAGCACATGAATTATTGTGAATTTTTCTACAAAAATAATGTCTTTATAATTTTTCCGGGTTTTCTTAATTCGATTTGTGAAGACAATCAGTGAAATAACATTGAATTGATTACTCAGTGAAATAAATACATTTAACTGCTGAATTGATTATAAATCAGTATTTAGCAACTCAAAAGGGCATTTATATAAACATTAGGCAGAGGAAAATGGAGGAAAGCAAAACAAAATTCTCTTCGGACTACAATTTCTTTAATTGATAGGATATTTCAATATCCTTAAACGCAAGTATTCTATGAATAGAAAAAGCATTCAGTTTACTGTTACTACAGAAAAATAAAATAAGCTTATCATAACCACGTGAATTAACCATGGAATAAGAAATTTTGAAGAGAAATAAACTCATTTACATTATCTCTCTCCCTCCGCAGATTTGTTGGCTGTTCCAAGGAACTTTCCTTTTTCTTGGGTATTTTTCAAATTTTAAAGAAATTATTGCTCTTATGGGTAGCTGGTAAAAAATTAAGGTAAATACTTTGAATTATAAATTTTGATACTAAATAACTCCAGAATCAGAGAAAAAGAGAGCGTCGGTGAGCTTTTCATTCTGGACACAGCTCAAAATCCGTGTATAAGAAAATCGACACGGAACCAAAGGCGTGTTTAAGAAAATGGATGTAGCTCAAAATCCGTGTATAAGAAAATGGGCACAGCTAGAAGTGCGCCATTTCAATGCTCAATCCAAATGAAACAATTAAAGGCGGAATTTCGTAATTTTTTCTTTCTTATTTTCTTAAACGTTAAGCATAATCATTACGGGGTAAAGTCATGGACTTCGAAGTTGGAAGGTATATTACCTATGTAACTTTTCAGGTGATGTCTTAAGTATTCAGAATTCTAAACGATAAAGTGAGTTCTAAAAACTATGAATTCGTACAACGTTAATTTAATACCACTATTATAAATTTATTGAACCTATGACATTGTTGTAAAAGGAACTGTTGACTGTCAATATTTTTTGTTCAAAAAAAACTTATTTAAGAAAATTGTATTAAGTGATTTAGGAAAAAAGGAAGACACCACATTAGCAATTTATTTGTATTCATTAGTTTATTCTTTTAAAAAAAAGAACAATTTTCATAAGAAAAGAATGAAAAACGGAATCAAATGCTATTTTCTTAAATATCTATGTCTATTTCCCTAATTACGAATTTCGAGCTGTGTCCCTTTTCTCAAACAATTATAGTCCAAGATGGCGAGATATTCTTTTATGAAGTATGTTTCGCAATGACTGCTCTTAATATAAATTTTAATAATCATTACAATGAAAGTTTAAAAAAAATATCCTTAGGGTCCGTAAACTAATATTAAGGGAGAAAATCAGAACCAATTGCAAACTTCGATCAATCGTTATTTAAATCTGTTAGATCAAAATAGGCATTGAAATCTTCAAAACGAAACGAAAGGCAATCTAATTTCGCAAATCAACATAATGAATTTATAAATATTTTAAATATCCTTTCCTTTGATGGGTCAGAGTTTGATATCATATATAGTTTATATAAAGATGACGAAGAAATGTGATTAGGTAAAGACATTTGAAGTAATTTCATCGTTGATATTTCTTGTACTTGAAAATTCATATTTAATGTGCAACATGATATTTATATTATTCTAAGAGAAATTGAATAAATTGTTCGAATTACCCTACTCCACAAAGTATTTATAATTATATTATAGTTTAATTATTAAAACTTTTAACTGTTCATATCGCTAAAATAGATGAAAAAAATTGAGTAAATAAATTTTTATGTCAAAGTCCTTCACATGTAAAGAACGAGAAAGTTTAAAACAAGGAGGTCTCGATTCTGTGGAATCAGATTTTAGATTGAAAGAGGTAACAGACTAGCAGTTCAGGTCAAAAAATAAGTTGTCCTGGCAGAATCTTCAACTGAAAGTCTTGGCTCCGGCTGCCATGCTACTATATGATGATAATAAACAACTATTCTTTTTATAACTAGAAGGAGCACATTTTTTAAAATAATAAGCTAGTAATAAAACATCGAAACTGTCAATTTATTCAAAAGATAAACCATTAATTTAATCACTTAAGGGAAACATAATTTGACATTAATATTTTTTCAAGACATTCGCTGCAAAGAAAACTAATGTTCATTCCTCGTAAATATTTATAAATGATTAGACAAGGAATAAAATATTAGTTTGAGAATATGACAAATTGATTAGACCAATTAAATGTATTCTAAAAGAAAAGTAAATTAAATTAATAATGTAATTTCTTGTGATCATATGCTAAGATGTAATCTTTATGATTAGAAGGTCAAAGCTCAAGTATGTTATTTACTTTGTGCTGATGATATTTTAAGTTTCCAAATTTGTTACAAAAGCATACTTTGAGTAAGAATAATAAACATACCTTTTTTTCCTAAGAATTTGGAATCTCATTAAATGAGGGGTAATAGCAACCTAAAAGAAACAGGGTTTTAATAGTTTTGTTCAGATACAGCAAATATTCAGTAATATTACGATTTATTATTTTCGGGTGCCTAGTGTCACACTTGTTATTTTTTTCTCTTGAACAATGATCTTTAACTCGCAGTAATTTATTTTTAAACTATAGAATTACGTTATTGAACTACAGTGGTTGAACAACACTTCTAATACTCTTTTTATGTAAACAATCTTTCTTTTACGAACAAATGTTTTAGAAAATTTCACATGGCACAACTGTTTGTACAATTTGAAAGATCAAGATGGAAGCTTTCAGAAATAATGTATTTTTTAGTGTTATTTGGTATCTGATTGTATTAGTAAAAAAGACAATTCTAACAGCTTCAAGTATGACCTTTTAGATTGTGCAAACAGTTTTGCCATGTAAAATTTTCCAAAACATTTGCTGGCAAAAGCAAGATTGTTTACATGGAGTTAGTATAGAAGTGCCTTCATAATTTTGTCCAACCACTATATCTTTGCTGTTTAATTATTAACCTGCTTCAAATAGAAATAGAAGGAACAATATATCTATTAACTGAGAATTATCGAGAATCACACGGAAATTGAACTGTAAAATAAAAATTTCACCTGTAGAATTATCCCACACATCTTCAAAAGTAATACGCAAATTAATGGAATTAAAGAATTTGTAGCAGTATTTACTTATTTAAAAAAATTCCATCAACGTTTACGAAAACAAGTTATAAAATTACATTTTTAAGGAATAAAGACAGCCGGGATAGCCTGGTCGGTTGGGCGATGAGCCCATGTCCGAGAGTTCGTGGGTTCGAACTCTGCTGGTCGAAGACTCCCCGTGTAATAACTGGTGACTGATGCACGTTAAATCTGTTGAGTAGTAAAGTCCTCCATGTTCCCGTAACAGACCATTACCTCTGGGGGTACAGGACTGGAGATCGATCGCTCTCTGATTTAGGTCAAAATTACGATCTGTGGATGAATGAATGGATATATGAATGAGTTCACCCTATAAACGGGCGTGACGTATGGGTGTGGCAGAAGTCGAATTCTCGGCCATAGATGGCACCACAGGAAAACAAGAACAATCGCACCCCTCTGCCTAAAACAGACATACGAGAGAGAGAATAAAAAAGTTATTTTTTCAATTTTAATTTTTTACATTTAATCTTGAATATAATATTATGTGGTCTTTATAGTTTAAATTATCTTTTGAGAAAAAACTAATGTAATAACAATTTTTAGTGTATTCTTAGGATATGCTGAATAAAGTTAGATCAATGAAATAAATTTTATATCTCTTGAGAAAAAACAGTGGTAACAACAATTCTTAATGCATTCTTAAGATATAATGAATAAAAGAATGAAATATATTTTGTGGTCTGTATAGCTTAATTTAAAACATCTCTTGATGCAAGATAGGGGTTAAACCTTTTTAATATATTCTTAGGATATGACGAATAAAAGAAGCTCAAATGAAACAAGTTAAAGTTAACTGTGCACAATGGTAGATGTATTAGATCCAACTTAAAATCTGTTGACAATGCTGGAAGCTATCTATTTCGGTATTGCTATTTTCACATCTTTAAAGGAGTGTTGGATGATAGAACTCTGCAATTCGTCTGAAGATAGTGTTATAAATGATGACTCATCTCTTCAACTTACTCTTCGTCATAATTTTTTAAATCTTGAAAAGGGACTAGTTCCAGGATTAACATATAACGGTAAATATTATCTTTTATGTTTATTTATGCATTGCACGAATAACCTCTTCATTACCACATATATGGACCTTCCTTCTAAAAACACGCTGCAAGAAAATTTGTAGTTTTACCTCTTCACTGAAGTAATTGAAGATATTTAAGCTTTCTGGGGATTCTACAATAGATGCGGAGCATGTGAGTTATTTGGGTAGAATTCCACATAAACAGAAGTGATTTTCGAAAAAAGATGCTAAATTCACGTGTTCGAAAGTATAACTAATTTTAAATACTACATTATATAATTTAGTTATTCCAAAATTAATTTTGACTTAGTAGTTCTATGATATGTATGAGCCTTTAAATTCATATTTACTTAAAATATTTTAAAATAATACTGTCAAGAACAAGCAGGTCCACGTATGTGTACCTTGGTATTAGCCAAGCGAAATCTTATAGTATTATGTAAATTCAATTGTATATCTATTTAGTAATATTTCTATTAATTAAATATTTTATATTAAGGTATATGCATACATTTAATAACTTTAACTTTTTGTACTTTTTTCCCAAAAATTTTGAAATTTCAAACCAGGAATTCCTTTTCTTTTAGTTAATGTTAGATTCGTTTGAAAAATTATTTCTTTTGCGTGGTTTGCACCATAAAAATAGTTCTGAAACTGAGATTCCATGCAGTAATGTATCCATCAATATTGCATCTCTGTGTAAAAACTTCATTTTTTTAAAATTTCTGAATAATTATGAAATCTATTCATCACTGTATTTAATTAGATTATAAAATAACATTATATGCATACTTGTTCCTACTTTAGGTGCAATTTAACATTTGAAATGTTTATATTATTTTACTTTGTTAAGACCTGCGATCCATGAATGCGTACCTAAAATAATTATTAGCCCCCTGGCAGTATAGTTGGACGTAATGAACATTAAAAAAATTCATAATAATCATCTTACAACTTATCTCTCTTTCTTCTCGCAGCCTAATATATGTCTTCTTGTTTATTACATTTGCTTCTTAAACTGTGATTTTTCAGATTTTTATAGCTTACCCAGATTTTGAATCATTTTTTACTAGTTTAAAAACTTGTAAGTATACTTTTTGTTTTCATATTTGATAAGGACTCCAAAAATGTATATTAAGGGTGATCTTCAAAATATATCTGGTATAAAACGTATTAATATTTATTATTAAAAATACTGATATATTTGTTTTCAAAAAATAATATTAATATTGATAAAAAGGGCATTTATTAGTTTAGAGTTTGAAAGGAGTCAACCTTTGTTGGGGATTTTTAAAGCTCTCTTAACCAAATACCTACAAACTGAACACTAAATACTTAAACAAATCGTGTCGACAAGAAATACCGTGTTTTATAACCTTCTGGCTTTTGACTTTTTCTTTTTTATTTATTTATTTAGTCTAGTTTAGTAAAGGTCATATATTGATAGCATTTTGAACTCTTTCAGGGCTCTTTTTTTAATTTTATTTTAGGACATTTTATTCATTTTAGTTAAATTTTTTTAATATTCCAGAGTGTGTGTTTTCTTACATCGTGAGAAGGTTTTTTATCTGTCATAGTTTAAATTATTTTTTTTTAATATTTATGTCTTTTATATTAAGATTCTCAATATCTCCTCTGCAATTTTGGTTTCACTAGACTTTTTTTTCGACGCAAGGTGACTGAGTGGTAGCGCTCCTGTGCCAAAGGTCCTGGGTTCGATCCTCGGGCTGGGCAAGGTTGACTCAGCCTTTCATCCCTTCAATGGGTCGATAAATGAGTACCAAGCATGCTTGGGAACTAAACACTAGGGGTTTCGCGTTCGGCTGACCACCTAACCGGAACATCTGCTCCTGCACCCCAGAGCCCAAGGTCAAGAAAACTGAGATGGGCACAGTAAGCCTTGGCCCTCTATGGGCTGTCACGCCACTGAGTTTACTTTAGTTTTAGACTTTTTTTCCCCTCCGTTTGACATTTATTTCAAACTTTAATGAAAATTGCAACTCGATTTTCTTAATAGAGGTATTTAAGTACAATTATCTGTAACTTTAAGAAAGAAATACTATTTCAGATTTATAATACTTTAATTATTTGTTTCCTTTTTTAATTCTAAGAAAACATTTTGATATTTTTGATGTTCTTTTCTGTTTAAGGGTTTTCAGCTGAAGAATGTCTGAATTCCAATAATCATCTTTTGTTTTAAAGGTTTATAAACAATGGGAACTTCTCAAAAGATGTGAACATAACACAAATCTAAGACAACTTTTAAGTTTAATTCACAGCAAGAATTTTTGAGTAAATTTATATCTGTCAAATGACAAGAAATAACATAAATAATTGCAAAAGTTTTTTACGAATATCTTTAAAAAATATACTTAAAAAGGAATCCAGTTTTGGACTTTCAAGTTGTTAGTTGAATCAATGTAACACCAATTTTTGAAAAGAAAAATTGAGTTTCTAAATAAAAATAAGAATAAAAGATTTTGATAGAACGATTTCTAAATAATATCTTTAACAAATGGTAGCAATAGATAAGTTGTAATTTACTAACTGAACTAAGGTAAACAACGAGCACAAAAATATTTATAAATGCAGACAGCTGTTTCGGATGCTCAAGGGGCAACCTTCATCAGTATTTTTATAATTTACTAAGTAAAAGATTTTCAAAAAAAAAATGATTTAGTGTTTTGATACATGTCCAAAAAGTAATGTACGAAATAGCACTATAATAATTGTAACAAAAAAATAGATTAAAGTTAGTGCTTCGAACTTATTTATCCTTCATTAATATAATTGTTCTAGTGATGATTGAAGATTTCTCTAAAATTTCTGAAACAAAATACTACTTTTGAAATGTAAGGTTGTCAAAAAAAATTTACGCACGCTGCACCAGTAGTCTTTCCTATAAAGTTTTTGCTTAAGATAATTGACTAGTGCAAAAGCATTATTTTAGACAAACTTTCCGTTTTTTATAAATTTAAAATTCCTATACTCTTAACTTTCTGAAAATACTTTACTTTTGTTTATACTCCAATTATTTACAAACTTATCTAAGTTTTTGTGCAATGTGATAATCGTGAATAGACTAAAATTGATTTAAAAACTTTAAATGCGTTTATTTCAGAATCAGATTTTTTTCACATTTTACACCACCTTAAACACGATGCCTCATGTTTTTAAAATAATTGTCGACAATTTTTCATGGGTGCTTAGGATTAAAGCACACGTGTTTTGAGCTACAGACTAAGAGAAAAATGCATAATTTCATTTTTATAAATTTTTTTTCGCGAAGACCAGTTTCAAAATTTTTAAAAATTTGCTTTTTTAACTACATTGATTCCTAACTCAGCAGTATATGCACTCGCTTTTAAGATAATAGTTCAAAACATTATTGATAGCTTTATAAATAAAATCCTCAAAGGATTTTCTTGTTTTTGGCGATATAAATTTTTTACAGTGTTTAGCGTATATGCAAAAATGCCTTATTTTTAGCTAAGTTGACCATTTAAGAAAAATAAAATAGTAATTACCAAGCATGCTTGGGAACGAAACACTGGGGGCTCAACGTTCGGCTGACCACCTGACTGGAACATCTGCCTCCTGCACCCCAGAGCCCAAGGTCAAAAAAACTGAGATGGGCACAGTAGGCCTTGGCCCTCTATGGGCTGTCGCGCTACTGAGTTTAGTTTAAAATAGCAATAATTTTTTTGCTGTTTTTATGCATAATAAAGCAAGTAAATTAGTTTCTTTTTTTTAAATATAATTGATATTTAAAAAAAACAGCTGTCGAAACTAGTCAGATCCCTTAAGGTAATCTGATATTCTAAAACTCAATGAAAAAAGCTATTCAAATTTTATTTTTATTTATGCATAAGTACTGAATGTTTAGCGCATCTAATATAAAATCAATCGAATTCAAAATTAATCGTTGTTAACCGTTCCCACCTTTTGAAAAATACCATCTTCGAAAAAGGAGTTTTTATACTTTTGTTTTTCCCATCATTTTTATGAATGCAATTATTTGAAACAATCTGAATTCTTGTCACACAATTAGAATGAATTTTTGAGTGCATAAACGAAAGTCTCTGCTTTAAGAATTAAAAACTACCGATGCAAAATAAATAAAATGCTGAAGACATGAAATATCGATTGAATGCAGATGTTGGTCTTCACAAGGAAACCTTATGTCACTGAGTTTTTTTCCTACTATAAATTTATGCTCACCTTTTTTATCCAAAACAAATTAAAGTAAAAAGCTGGAAAAAATTATTTTCAGCGAAATTTTAATATGATACATAAAATTACTAAAAAAATCTGTTAATGGTGCTTATATTCGGAGAAAAAAATTCTGAAAAAGTTATCATACTGTGTGATGATGGCATTTCTAGCGAAAAAAGGAGCATAATTTTGGTAAATCAATCCAAAATATACGGTATTTGAACAGCTCATTTGCTAATTTTTCTACTTTGTATAGTAACGGTTTACCGGAAGTTCTGATTTTCAAAATCCTTATTATCACATATCTGGTAAAAAAATACAAAACTGAGAAATAAATTTCACCAAATAAATAGTTTTTATGTCATGCTTTAAGGTATCAACATTTAAATACCAAATTTGATCACATTCACCAAATTTTATCATGTATTATAAAATCATATTTTATTGCTAATTTTACCAAAACCATTAGAGCTTCCCATAGAACCAGAAACCAATACATTTTACTATATTTTGTTACTTTAAGCCATACTTTTTCTCAGTGTATATTTGATGTTTTCGTTTTCATATTAAAGAAACTTCTTTTTATGATAAACATTTTATCCTGGAGTAACAGTTCATATTGTTATTATAACCTATAATTTCTCCTCACTTATTTAATCTAATGGTCCTTTTTAACGTACAGTTTAACAAGACGTAATACCTTCATGTCAAATTTTCTTTCATTTATTTAAGTAATTTAAAACTTTAAGTATAGTTCAGGTAAACTTCCAGTAAACAATGAAGTTTTAAATGCAGAAATATTTTTCAAAATATCAAAATTACATAGGACGCGGTGGGGAAATTATCCTGCCATAATATGTTTGTATTTTGATGTTATGAAAACATTTTTTCAGCATTTGAAAACTTATGGTTTACTGTAGGTTTACCTGAAATACTCTAAGCATTAAATTTAAACACCAATGATAGTTAATCAGAATTTGCGATAAAGAATTTCTCCCATGGTTTAATATACTCTTAAAAAGGCAACAAAAGTTACAATGTAGTTTTATAGAATAAATTTTACACGACAGATTTATTTAGCAACATTTTCATTTTATTTCAAAAATGTCTGTCTGAAAAATTTCCAATGAAAAAAAATAAGAAAGTGATTCTGACTACTAAGTTTTAAACATATTTATATAGATAAATTCCAAAGTAAGAAAAAATTTAATTTAAAAAATCACACACAAATGTAAGAACATATGGGCTTTAAAAATATAGAAATTATTAGTAAAAATAATTTAAAGTTATGCTTAAATAACTAATAAAAGTGTTTTAAAAACTTTTTTAAAAGAAATCATTTTCAATACATTTAAAATGAAATCTTATTAATATGAAAGTTTTTTTTAAAAAAAATATTTATTCATGAATTATTGCGAGAAATATATTTTTATTAATTATAACCTTAGCAATAAACATTTTATTGATTTTTTAAATACAAATATTTATTGAAATTAAAAAAAAAAATTTGAAAATATGAATATTAAACGATGAATAAAATATTGAAAAATGAAGAAAAAATAAAACTATACTATAGTTCGGATATTTTAGAAATTTGTTTTCCTATTTTGATACATTATTTGCTGAAAAAAAAGTTTAAAATAAAGGAAAAACATACTTAGGAAAGTCAATACTAGTTCATGTGTGTATATGCTTTAAACAAAATGGATTTCTTACGTTTTCAATCAATTTAAATTGGAAACTTCTTCGGAAAAAAAATTTTTTTTCTCCTTTACGTGCATTTTGAAAATTTTTCTATTAAAAATAAAAAAGGAAACAAAATTATACTGAATGAAGGGATTATATTTGAAAAATTTTAAATTGTTTTTTAAGTAGCATTAAAACCTGTTAATTGAAAAAAGAATATGCAATTTTTTACTCGCATTATAAAACATAATTTTAATTTATTTTCCCTCCTTTCTTAGAAGAATAAAAGTATTTCCCTTCAACAAAAAATTTTTTCAGAATTTAATTTTAGGCATTTTTGCATCTTTTTTAAAGAAAAAAAGAAAATGCAATAGCAAATCGCTTACGAAACCAATTTCTAAACTTTTTGCCAGAAGTATTTTACAAAATTCATATATTTTTTTTATTCTCAGTTTTTTGGCAGAAAATATTTTGAAGCAAAAAATTGTTTTTTGATCTATTTGAGAATTTAAGAAAATAAAAATCAGAGTAAAATTTATTTAAACAAATTAAATTTAGTAATTTTAGCCCCGTTCAAGCACTACATAACCACTTAAAGGGATGTTTGTGAATCGAATATATATATATTATATATATATATATAAATGACGAAACGATGTTGCACCCAATGCTATTTTCATCGTTCAAATTACTAAATAAAGTATAATAGCTGCTGCATAAAATTTGATGCTCTGTTATGAATATCCGATTGACTGAAAAGAATCTCAGATAATGTACTAAAAAGTGAAATAATAATTTCTTTTCTTGCAGTTACACTAATGAATCGAAATTCTGATTCAATTGTTCCATTTGCATTAGAAACAGAACCAGCTTCTACTTTCATATTGTCCTCATCTAATATCATCTTGTGTGATTCATCAAAAATTGTAGGATTTGTCAATGAAACTTGTATATTTTCAATTACTATTCCACTCAATCTTAATAACTCACTCTTATTTTTGTAAGTATTTATTTCTCTTCTGTTTATAAGTTAAATACAAAAAAATTACTAATATTGATACGATAAACAAGTGTTGTTCTACCAAAATTAATAGTTTTGGGTAAGTCCTAACTATTATTTTTATTTTGATGAATACCGTAAACCGGGGCGAGTCTATCCATTTTAGTTTTATTTAATTTTCACTATTTTAAATTGCAAATAAGATTTTTTTACCGACGGAGGACTTAGTTCAGACTCTAAGGAAGATGGCGCTGTAGTAGTTTGATCCGTTTTTATTTATTTAGTGTCTTTTTAACTGACCTGTTCAAACGTCTTTTGAGAGATTAGTATTGAAAATCAGCAAACTTTTAGTTGGTGCTCCGTAAGTATATTATTATTATTACTATTTTCACTTTGGTTAAGTGATAAACTTATCTAAGACTAAGATTACATTAATTTTATATGAAAAAAAACCAAAAAGAATGTAAGTTTTGCTGTTGTAAACAAAAAGCCAGAATTCGCGGGGCGAGTCTACCCATTCGTATTTAGTTTTAATAAAGCATAATAATATAATTTAGAACTTTGTTTATATTAAAACTAAGTCACTTTAAATGAATTTGAGCATATTATTTTAATTCTGCATTGATAAATTTATCATTAATAAGAAAATTTATAGGTTAAATATAAATGCAAATATGAAATATGTTTATTTTACCTATTTTTTCAATTTTTATATTGCAAAATTAACTTTTTTCATTTAGTGTAAGTTAAATAAATTATTATTTATTATTACCGATGGTTCGAAATTATATTCGCAAAACAAATGGATTTAAATGTTACAAAAAAATGCCATGATTTTGTTAATAATCTTTAATTATTATTATTTATTAATTATTTAATTGTAAATTTATATTAATTTTAATTTATTTTTATCAACAATAATCAGAAAAAAATGTTATTTTATAATGTTAATGATTATAAAAACAAAACTGTGATCAAAATGTGATAATCGATCAAATACTCAATTTGTGTTATTTTATGAATAAAAAAATGGAATATATAATAAAGTTATGAATTTTACTTCATAAATATCCTATATAGTAACTAAAATAACAATTTAATAGTAAAATTTGATTATTTACAATGTTAACATTCATTTTAGTAGAATGGGTAGACTCGCCCCATACGAGAGATTTGTCAGCAGTTCTATAAAAATATACAGTAACAGCGTAACTGTTAATATTTTCTAAAATCGATTTCACAGCTTTAAAGAGGGATAAATAGCGATTCCGAAACACCTATTAAAAGCCTTTTTTCTTTAATATTTGCAAAAGTTTGACCACTTGAAAGTTGACAAACTGAAAAAATGGGTAGACTCGCCCCGGTTTACGGTATATAAAAATTGCTTTTATTTGGAGAGAAAGTTATACATCATCTTTTAATTCTCAGTATTTAATAACCTTTCATGAAGTCATGGTTCATCGAATATTTATTGTAAAAAAGTATTTCTTTTATTCAGAACACATTTTATTTTGAGTGATTAACTAATAGCGTTTAATTTGATAAATATAAATTGGCAATAAATTTTGGAAGTTTTTCAAATCAGGAATTTAAACAGTTTTTAGTCAATTCAGCTAAAAACTGTGTGCGGTTTCACAAACGTTAAAGTGAGTCCGTCTAAACCTCATAAATTCGAAACAACCAAACTACTATTTCGAGTTGAAACTCCTTCTGAATTACTTACATAGAATCTAATACTGCGTCTAATAATTTGGCTAGGGACTTCAATACACATGTACTTATACATGTAATGTATTTTTGCTGTAGGGTAGGTATTTTATTTTAATACCATCATTTAAATAGCCTATCTATAACGAATATGCCTCCAATAATGCTCATCGTCGTAATTCGATACTCAGAAAAAAATAGAACTCTTGGAACAAACAATGAGATAAACTTGCGATTGTGGTGGACTTTTTACCCAAATTTGTTTTTCATGGAGAAGGAAATCATGAAAACCTCCCACGACACTAATGCTAAATTTACACGAAGACTGAAAACAGACAAACACCTGAAAACGGTCTTCTGACGTTACAAGTCTAAAGAAAAAAATGCTTGCTGAAATTTATACCATTCCTGAAAGTTAAGAATCCTATTTTTCACTACTATTTGACAGGGCTAAAGAGAATAGAAGGGCTAGTTCATTCCGCTCTTAGAGCTGAAGCTACGATTTCTCTCCTCATGACGTCACTGTATACACAGATCTCAGAGATCGCTAGCAAAGATATTATGATAACTTTACTTAAAGATTTTAAACTTAACTTAATTAACACATTATTTCGTTCATAAACATAGTTCAAAAAAACTTTCTTGGCCATTATATTAAAAAAATACCATTTTAAACTTATAAAAATATTTTACTAGTTGGAAAAAATGACCCTATAAATACTTTATTTCAAAAAGTTCAGTTTTAACTTTAATTATTAAGAAAAGCATATATCGACACTTTTTTATCTACATAATCTTTGATAACTATAAGTTGGGTTAAATTTAGAATCCTGATTTTAAAATATGCCGTTTATAGCAATTTGTTCATACTTAATCATTAGGAAACATCAACCTTAAACGCTAATTGCTGAAACAAAATAATTTAGGTTCATAATGATATTTGAAATTTTACAATTGTTTATAGATATTTACATTTAAGGTAATATAATTTATAGATATTTACTTTTAAGAGAATATAGTTCAAAAAAATCATAAATATTTAGAATAACTACATTAAAAAATATGTTTTGAAATTCGAAGAATTTTAACTATATACTATATATTTTATTTATACTTTTTATTTACCCTTTAATTTTCCTTGACTTTATCCATTTTTAAATTTTTCGCCTGCCTATCTTTTTGAGTTAAAGTGGCGGTTTCTATTTAGATGGTGATTTTTTATAAAAGTTCTTTACGATAGAATAAACGTATTGTTGTTTTATATTAACTGTGTCATTTCGTTTGCAATTCGTTGAATCCATTCTTTACATAGTTTTTCATTTAGTTTAGGGAACACGTAGAAAATTATATATTTTTTCTTTTGTGTTTCTATCAGAATTTTTGCAAGTTGGCGCAAACAGGCATTTCATTAATAGTTTTAAATTTTTGTAAATTCACGGCTTGTTGTTGTAGTTTATTTACGTCGCTCTAGAGCTGCACAATGGGCTATTGGCGACGGTCTGGGAAACATCCCCGAGGATGATCCGAAGACATACCATCACAATTTTGATCCTCTGCAAAGGGGATGGCTCCCCTGCTTTGGTAGCCCGACGACCTACACGCGAAGTCGAGCACTTTACGGTAGAACAGTTTAACGAGGACCAATACCGCACACCCTCGGTCCCTACGCAGACTGATCCAAGTGGTCACCCACCCGCACACTGACCGCAGCCAGTGATGCTTGACTTCGGTGATCTGGTGGGAACCGTGTCTGATCAGTCCACTGCGGGACGTAAATTCACTGCAATAAACTGAGGAAAATCATTTTATAAAACAACAAATGTCTTGGAATATGTCACAAAAGGGAATGCTCCAATATTAGTTAGAGCTAGTTAGATCGAACGCTCCGTTCTTGAAGTAAAAGTGCAAGCTTCGCGCCACAGTGACGTCACTGGAGAAAATCGGAGGTTTAGCGCGGCGAGAGTTTCTTCGAAGGAGTGAACCAGACCTTCTATTCTCTTTAGACCTGACTATTTAAGGCGAGAATGAAAAACATCAAAACATGTTTGGTGGGAAAAAATAAGAGAAACTCTGCCAAATTGATTCACCCAAACACCAGTGATTTCGACTATATTTTTGCTTGTTAAATATTAATTTTCGACTTTTTGGATTTTATTTTTGGCAATATGCGGTGATGTTTAGGGAAAATAAAGGTTGAGCCCAGATGGCTTATTTGGAAGATCACTCGTTTCCCAATGACCTAACTCAAGTTCAAATCCCAGCGATAGCTGGTGGATACGAATTTTGATTTGAATTCGCATCGACCGCAATGATGACGTAAAATATATTTTATATTAGCCGTTGAACAGCTGAATTTTGAGTGTACAACTACCGATGTTCAACTCCGTAGACTTGTCATTTTGATCCAATCCAGAAGACAAAGGAACTCCTGGTTCAAGTATTGAGGAAATTTGAATTCGTGGGGAACTTTTCGATATAACTAACCCGCATTTGCGTTACATAGTGAGGAAAGCCACGAAAACCTCCCACGGTTACCCTGACTGCCAGGGAACTCTAACTTATGATTCGTCAACCACTGAGGATATTTCACGTCAGCACTGTGGTCGGTGGAGCCGGGTGTGGAATTCGTATCTACCAGACATCGCTGGGATTCGAACTCGGTTCACCTCATTGGAAGGCGGATGCCCCCTCCCCCGAGCCACCACGGGTCAAGAATCATAATTTTAAGAATGGGCGAAACATAACCACTTGACGCTAAGAGCCAATCATCACGCGCTTAAATTCCAACCTTACTCGGAGCTGTCTACGGCCGACCCACAGTGCTTAGAACGAACTGTCCAAAACTCCAGCAAATTAAATCGGTCATAAGTGCTAAGCATTAATGTTTTTTTAGTCAACAGAAGTATGAAGAATTATATAGAATAATTCATTAACTCAATATTCTAATTATTATTTTTGTATTATCCATACAAAATGGTTAATACAAATCCGTAACTGTGAACGTGACTTTTTGCTATACACTTCAATCAGGTGTAACTTCCGAAATAATTTTCATTGTTGCTGTTGATTTTTTACGTTTTAAGAAGTTTAAAAACCATTTTTCAACTTTGATCCTGTGAATAATTTGTATGTAACAGTAGTTTGAAGCTTTACGTGTCATTGAATATTTCATACATTTTTGCAACTTCATTGTGATTTTTGAAAAGGATATCTTCACTTGTTCTCCTCGCTAACACTAAAACTAAAGAATATTCCATGCTGAACCAGGGAATACAAAAATTAAATGGCCAAAGTTGCCCTTATTGCTTTTATTGATAAAAATATATATATATAAGAGAGTAAACTTGGTAATTTTTTCTATTTTTTTAATTTAACAATGATTAAAAACTAAGCATGATTTTTTTATTATTTTAATTTAAATAAAAACATATAAAGAAAATATAATCAATTTCTGCTTTTTCTTTGAATTTCTGAATTAATATTATTTTCCGTACTTTTGGTTTACTAAAAAATACTTAAGAATAGTACTTATGAGAGCTTCATGAATTTTGACTAGCTTTTTTCGAATTCTAACCATTGTGCGACAATGCTTGATTGGAAGCAGGCTAGGAGAATAGAGGGAAAAATCAGGTTCCTCATGTGACCTGATATCAGGCCTCGTCACAAAAGGAAATATCAGTAAAAGTATTAAACTTTAGCACTATAATCGGTGTCATAATGAACGAATCGACCAGTCATAACTTGGATTCGAACCAAGATCGCACCATTGCCGAGTGAGAGCACTATTCCCTAAAGATATTGCAATGAGTGCAACAATTTTGTACTACTTTGCTTATGAATAAGTGTAGGCTAAATTTTTGGATGTATTTTCAATTGAATTGTAAGTACACAAATTAAGTTAGAAATATATTTTTTATAAAAATGATACGTTGCAAAAAACTTAGAAAGTTGTTATAATTGATTTTTCTTTCACAGATTGACTTTCAGAAACCATGATAACACTTGGTCTACATTGCTGCAAAATGTTCCCGTACGTTCCGGTAAGAGCTTGATTTAAATATATAAAATCAGTTGCTCAAAATAGTATCTAAACTGATGAACTGTTGCTTTATTGCGATTTTAAATAACAATTTTACTGAGCTTTTCTGAGCATTTTTCCGCATAGAATGCTTTTTTTCGCGTTGATTAGTTTTATTAATCGAATAAAAACTTAGACGTGGTTTTCATTCCTGAAGAAAAAATAATAGTTGAAGGAAAGGAAATATTAAAAAAAAAGAGAGAGAGTGGGAAAGTAAAATATTTCTTAAACATACAAAAGTAAAGAAACAATCTGTGTGTAAAATCTAAATGTAAAAAATGTGTCCAAAAAATATGCTAAAAATAGATCATTTTAAACATTTCATAAGATAGACATTTTTAATAGGAGATTATTTCAAGCAAAATTATTAGGAAAAGTCTTTACTTCTTTAAAAAAAATCCGAGATTTCCTTACATTAAATATAAGGATAATGAACAAAATAATTAGCTTGGTTAAAGTCACAATTAAAATCCCAAATTGTTTAGAATGAGTAATTAAATAATTTAGATAATATAAAGTTTTATAGCTTCTAGCTAAAAAGTTTTGAAAATGTTTCACTTTTAATTAACTTATAGTAAATTTAATGTTTGAAGAAGGTTATTAAAATATTTAATAAAATATTAGCTTTATTATCACTAGTTTTCGAATTCTACTTAGTTCCATGTGTATGCATCAATGAAATAAATATTTGCAACTCATTTAAATTCATTATTAAATCATGATATTAATATTTCAAAACTTTTGCAGATTGTTACTATATGCAACCAGTTGATGATGTAATCATAACGTCCGAAGAATTATTGGCAGTGAAAACCATTTTAATACAATCACCAGAAAAATCAGGGCTTCGTTTTGATGTATGTGAAATTCTATCATTGAAATGAACCCTTTCAGAGGATTTTTTTTGTTAGCTTAAACTTTAAGAGATTTACATCAAACAATTCTTTCAATGAAGGGTTAATTCCAATTAAATTATTACTTCTTGTGAATCCGTAGCCACAGTCTAAAACATCGTTTCAATGCTTTTGTCTGCAATTCATTTCAAAGACATTTTTACAATTATTTGTAAAATTCATGTATTCAAATAAAAACAAAAAAATAAGTTTTAACAAATTTTAACAAATGATCCAAATTTTAAAAAAATAAGTTTTTGATACTTATAAAATAAATTTTTTCATTAATTGATTTCATAAGAATTAAATACTTTTTTTTTAATTTGAACAATATTAATGAATGAAAATTAAGGTGGTCCATTTCAACAAGATTTATTCTATGACGATTGGATTGACATTTTGAGGACTACTAGGTTTTGGCAAATCAATAACGTGAAATATCGGATCTACACGAAAGTTATTACACGGTGAAGGTAGGTTGTGATGAAGAAAGATTGTTCCTGTCCTCGCGAAAAATTCGCTTTTTTTCAGATTCAATTTTCATGGTTGTAAGCTGCTCTTCCCCTTTGATCTTCAAATATCTTTCGCTTATGGTAAATTTGGGCGAATGTGAAATAATACTAGGATCTAATAATTTTATAAAAATCAATGTTGATTCATTTTGATATACGGAATAAATGATTACTATATTTAATAGATACGATTCCTATTATTCTATTAACATTTCAATTTATTGCTGATATTTCAAATAATTATAAAACTACTCTAATTATCGATTTTTTTTTTCAAAGTGAAATTTTGAAGCCTTTGAAATCAGATTATGAAATAGTTTTTACGAAAGGAAGAAAAAAATTTACATTATTTATAATTATACGTTTATACGTTTCTCATTTATAGATTGTCACTTATACGTCGTTTCTTTGCAATTCATAATTAATCAATGCAAAGTTCAAATATTGGCATAGCTTGAGTATGAAATGTACGACGGACTATCTGTTGTACGTTTATTTTTTACTTACATATATTTTTCAGTGCGTAAATATTTTGCCTAGAATCGAAAAACTCTAAGCGAAGCTCTAAAAATGTATTTATCTTCTCAAAAATTTTTTCACATAACCTATACGAAAAGGATTGTACACAATTCTGAATTTAAACCCATTAACGCCTGAATTTTTTATATACCGTAACGCAAGAAGAGCTCCTGTTAAAAAAGCGGTATATTTGCCAAGAGTGAAAACAATCCTGTTTTTTCAGGTGAGAAAAATTTTTGTAGAATTCTCGTAATACGCTTGACGTAAATGTTACGCTAGATCATCACGAGTTAAGATGTAAATTAAAGGTATAATGTTTTTTTTTTTTTTTTAAATTGTAGCTGACCGTTAGTGAGTTTTTAACTCTGTTAAAGTTTGGAATGCGTGTTTTCGAAAATGGACACAGCTCGAAATGCGCTTTTACAAAAATGGACGCAACTGAAAATGCGTTTTCAAGAAAATGGACACAGTCCGAAATGCGTGTTTATGAAAATGGACTTAACTTGAAATGTGTATTTACGAAAATAGACACATAGCATATGAATTTTAATTTTTTATACTTTTTTCATGATTATGGCTCTTTCATTAAGGAATAAATAAATTAGTTCAAATAAATTCATTACGTACCGTCCATTTGCATAAATCACTTCTTACTTTTTATTAAACTACTCTTTTTTTACAAGGTTGTTGTGGGCACTATAAATTTATAATACTGATAGCAAATTTATGTTGTAGGAGATTCGAGTTTTAAAACTCGAACTTTTAGAGTTCTTAATATACGAAGAAATGCCTGAAAAAGTTACATCTGTAATATATCTAGACGCTGTGACTCCTAAATCCGGGACTTTACCTCGCAATCATTATGCTTAGTGTTTGAATAAGTAAGAAAAAGAAAAGCATATTCCTCAATAAACTGTTAAATTTGGGTTGAAAACTGAAAAAGAGTATTTCGGGTTCAGTAAACGTTCATTTCGAGTTTTGCCCAGATATAAAAACTCACCTACTAGCTAATAATTTGAAGTCCTAGGGCCGGCCCTGAATATGTACAGATTTTTTTATAAGTCTCGAAGCAAAAAATGCTCGAATTATATTTAAGGGAGGAAAAAAGACTATAGAAAACCTGATTAATTCTGTCAAAAATCAACTGTCAAAGTTAAAATTTCATTAAGCTTTCCTCTCTAGTTGTACTTTTTGCTTTCTTAAATATTAATTTGTAATGTTTAATGTGCATACAATTTAACAATCTATATTAAGATCGGTACTAAGAAAATGTAATATTCTTTACAGATTAATAATGTGGTAAATGCAACACTTTTTATACATAACTCATCTGAATCTCTAATGTCATCATCCATTGAAGGAGGCGGTGAAAGTACGTTCATTGTTTCTGAATGCCAATTTTTGTTAATCGATATCATTACTTGCTACAAGTGTAAATTTCATGTGTCTATATCACCTTTTCTTCTTAAATATGGTAAGTATTCAAATCATCCTATATCATTTATTTGAGCAATAATGCCAACTAATCTTTATAATTGTACGTAAATGGATCTTCATAATAGTATTTATAATAAACTAATTATTTATTTTTTTCTCTTACACATTTCTTTTTATTTATTTATTTAATCTTCCCACTGCGGACTAATCAGAAAACACGGTTCCCAGTTCTTTCGTCAAGTACTCGCCTTCTCGCACTTGTGATTGGGCTACCAAAGCGGGGGAGCCCTTCCCTCCACAGAGAATCTTTGGATCATCCTCAGAAATGTTTCTCAGACCGAAGCCCAATGTGCAGCTCTAGTGTGACGTAAATAAACTACTTCTTTATTTATCTGGTTGTTAATGTCGTAAAAGAGCTGCACTAATGGGCTATTAGAGACGGACGGTTTAGGATTCGCATTAAGGTTGATCCAAAAACATTGCTTTACGATACCAGAGGGCATTTACACCAATCTCCCCAACACCCTTTTCTGGCTCTGAAATCATCGAAGACATTAGAGAGGATCGGAGTCCTTATTTTATTTTATAACCATCATCGAACATTGGGTTAATAACTACTACTGTTCAACTCCATAGCCTTGTAATTTTTATCCCCATTCAGAGGACTAGGGAACTCCTGGATCAAGTATTGGAATCTTTTTGAAGGAACTAACCCACATTTGCGTTACAGGGTTAGGAAAACCACGAAAACCTGACTACAAGGGGGCTCTAACCCATGATCCGTCTAACACTGAGAATATTTTACGTCAGCACTGTGGTCGGTGCAAGCCGGATGCGGAATTCTTATCGACCAATCATCGCTAGGATTTAAATCCGGTTCACCTCATTGAAAGGGGAACGCTCTATTACCTGAGCCATCACGGTTCTGATTGGAGTCCTTATTTTATAACCGTCGTTGGACAGCAGTCCCAATTTTGGGTTTACAACTACCTATGTTCAACTCCGTAGCCTTGTAATTTTGAACCAATCCAGAAGATAAGGAAACTCCTAGATCAGTACCAACAGAGGTATGATTTGCTATGGGAACATGGAGGAATTTGTGACCAGACAGATTTAACGTGTATCAGTCACCATTTACTACACGAGGAGTCTTCGGCCGGCGGGGATCTAACCCACGACCTCTTGGACATGAGCCAAGACAGTGCCCTACCATCGTGGATATCCCGGCTCTGATTGGAGTCCTTATTTTCTTTTATACCCGTCGTTGAACGTTGTTTTATGGGTTAACTAACTACTAATGTTCAACTCCGTAGCCTTATAATTTTGAACCCAATCCAGAAGACAAGGGAACTCCTGGATCGAGTATTGGGTGAAATTTGCCTTCGTGGAGGACTTTTTTGATGGAGCTAACCCGCATTTGCGTTACATGGAGAGGAAAATCACGAGAGCCTCCCACGGTTAGTCTGACGGCAAGATGCGGGACTCTAACACATGATCCGTTTACCACTGAGGATATTTCACGTCATCACTGTGGTCGGTGCAAGCCGGATGCGAAATTCGTATCAACTGGTATTTGAACCCGATTTGCCGGGAAAGATTCCTAACTACTAAAAAACTATTTAAGAAATAGCAATCTAATCAAAGAACCAGCCTTTAGCAAGGAAAATCGAACCACACCTAAAGCTGTGGTAGGCTAAGACTTAACCTTACCATTCCAATTGTACACCTAATTTTAATAATAATAAATGAATAATTAAGCAAAATAAAAATATTCTTCTTGACATAATGACTCTATGTTAGAATAAAAAATAAAAAATTATTACATTACGTGCGATCACTGATAGCAAATAATAATTCCTGATGAGAACATTCAATACCTAGAAACTTTTCTTTAAAAATAACTAAATGTTCAGCATTGCTACAAGAAATTATAATTATTGTATCAGATACATTTTTCCCACAGTTTACATGGAAATTGAGTTTTCAGAGCCATTTTTTTAGGAAACAAGCTGGTTTAGAATCAAGAATCAAGCAGCAGCAATAGTTAAAATTTTCAATTTTTAAAAATTTTCTATATATGTTTTTTATGTAAGACTGTTAAACGCCTTTTATTTTACAAGAAAAATTTATTAATGTCTGGATGGATTTGAATTGAGAGTCAAATGATATTTCAAGAAAAATGCAGCAGTACATTTAGCGATACGTTTTACAACATAACTTTGGCTTTTATTTGCATAATACTATCTCCACACTTTAATGACTTAAATTATTATAGCCAATAAAATTAAAATACTCTTTACGTTCATGTAAAAGATAATTATATTATTTTGTTGGAAGATAATTATTTTTTGTAGTATATAGATTTCCGCTCACTTTTATATTAAATATGGGTTTAAAGTTTTATAAATTATATATTTTTCCAATTATTATTATTATTATTTTGCCGCAATATAGCCTATATATTTTGCCGAAATATATAAATTCAGTGAATACACTTCTCACCTTTCAAATGCGCACCCAGGTACCATCAATTTTGCGGCAAAAATAAGTATATTTCACCTTTACATTTTACAAGGCATTCGTAAAATTTACGAAAACTGAAACGTCGAATTATAACATAAAATAGTTATACAAAAACGCAAAATTTACATGTAATTTTACGTAAACAAATTTCTTTTACGAAGATTTTACCAACTAATTTTTACTATATAAGAATGAGTACGTTATTTTCACGTAATATTTACGTCAACAATACGTCAAAATTTATGTAAATTGAAACGACGAATTATTGCAAAAAAATGGTTTTCCAAAAATCAGAAAATTTGCGTAAATAAATTCGAACCGAAATTTAAATGGTGAATTTGTTTAGTCAATAACACGTAAAATATACAGATTCAATTTTACTAAATCTAAATAGTAAATATTTTTTCATCAATCTTCCGTAAAATATACGAAAGCAATTTTGTTGGTAAAATACATTTCGTTAAAATTACATAAAATATACCAAATCTTTTTTACCAAATATCTCAATGGTGATATCATTCCGTCAATATAACGTAAATTTTACGTTTGAGGAGTATTGACTTACGTATGAAGTATTACGTACGAAGTATTATGTATTACGTATGAAGCGTATTATCAATTTTCCAAAAATTTACGTTTAATTTGCGTATCATGCATGCTACATAGGTATAATCGAAGAGTTTTCTATTGACATCCACACAAATGCGCGCTACTTCATGAGCATTGGCAAGTATATTTGCATCCACGTAACAGAGAAAGTGAGAAATTGATCAATTTGGACGGTTTTAAGAGTTTCTAATTATTTTGTACTTTTTCTTTGCTTTTTGATTTGTATATTTTTTGTGCAATATTAATTTTTTAAAACATTTTGCACAAAGTGTGTTTACTGTTTAAGGTATCTTTGATATGTGAGCCAAAATTATACGGGTTTTTTATTATAATCTTGATATATCCTTTTTTGAATCACTTCAAATATTCAAATACTTTAGAATGCAACTCAAATTATTTTGTACTTTTTCCTTGCTTGTTTATTTATTTATTTATTTTTTGTGCAATATTAATTTTTTAAATCATTTTACACAAAGTGTGTTTACTGTTTAGAGTAGCTTTTATATGTAATCCAAAATTATTCGGGTTTTTATTTGCAATCTTACTGTTGATATATAATCTTTTTGAATCATTTCAAATGTTTTAATAATTTAGAATGCAACTCTACTGTCACAGTTCCAGAAGGTTCATTTGAATTATCCCACAATGATTCCTGTATTCTAGAGTTTGAAGCTCCTACCCACCGTCAAATTTTTGTAAGACTTTTAAACAGATCTAGCAAGAATTGTCACTCATTGCTTTTGGGACCATTAGCTATTGCGCCTGCACATACAACATGGTACGTTATCAAATCAAATAGTTTTATTGAGTTTAATTGTTATATATGATCACCTAGGAATCCAATAAGAAACCCTATAAATATTTGTACCTTTAATATATACCTGAAAATTATATATATTTTGAGAGTGCTGTACTTTAGACTAGTGTAACTATTTGCGCCACCCAGTGGAAGAATTTTGTATTCAGTATATACAGTTGAAGTTGATACCAACAGGTGCTATCGGCTGTTTTGTTAATCATTTTTTATTTTCCAGACATGTGCAGAGAAAGTTTTATATATGTATATATGTCACGGCGAAAGACCGAAATCGGTGGTTGTTGACTTTCACCGGTGAATGTCGACAAACATCAAACACGTCGGTGAAAGATCGAATATTTCATTACATTCGAACCTCACCGGTGTATGTCGACAAGCACAGATATGCTTCGGTGAATGTCGAAATATTTATTACATTCGATTTGATATGAATTTATTCGTGGATATAATTACATTTATTCGATATATTAACCCTACACTGATGTTTTTTAAGGTTAAGTGCCACTGCCCGGTATACATTTGACCGGTATATCCTACACTGATGTTTTTTTAAGGTTAAGTGCCACTGCCCGGTATACATTTGCCCGGTATACCCTACACTGATGTTTTTTTAAGGTCAAGTGCCA